AAAAAACCCGGCCGGCATCAATATAATTCTGGCCCGCACTAACCCTAAAATTTTGCTTTGACCCGGGTCAAAATAGAATTTCCCCCAAAAAAATAGTCTAGTCAGATACTCAAATTTCGTAGCGAGGATGACTTGTATCGATATATAGATTTTATACAAACCTAGTTATTAACTTTTTAATTTAGCCTAAAGGTTTTGGAACCTAAACTAAACCTAAACTAGTTTTACCATCCTTATATATATTAAGTAGATAATAAAATTGGCTGATAAAACTATTAATTATAATTGGCTGATGTATACAAGCAGATAATCAAAATGATTTTCAGTTCTTTTCGTTTTACTTTATCAAGGCTTCCTCGTTTTACAGTTATAACAGCTACAGTATCGCCTTACTTTAAGTCTTATTCGCTTCCGAAATTCGAACAATTTCCTCGTACTTACGCTACAGGCTCTTCAGGACAATTTAAAACCTATAAACCACGAACTCCTGGTCTTAGATGGCTTAAAAGGCCGATAAACGATCACTTATGGAAGGGCAAACCTGTGCGAAAACTTACTATTGCCAAACGTGCAACTGGTGGTCGTAATCACCATGGTCATATCACAGTACGTCATCGTGGTGGTGGACATAAACGTCGTATCCGTATTGTTGACTTCCATCGATGGGATACTGGTCCACATGAAGTTATCCGTATAGAATATGATCCAAATCGGTCCGCACATCTTGCCTTACTCCAAAATCAAGAGACTGGAAAATTATCATATATAATTGCTCCACATGAATTATCTCCAGGAACAATTGTTCAATCATTTCGTAAACAGGATCAAATTAAAACCAATGAAGATCCTTCTATTACCCGTGTTGTAGCCATAGAAAAGGGTAATTGTTTGCCATTAAAGATGATTCCAGTAGGTACATTAGTTCATTGTGTTGGATTGAAGCCTAACGGGCCTGGAATTCTCTGTCGTGCTGCTGGAGGTTCCGTTCAGGTAGTACGAACTGGAGAAAAAGGATATGCGCAGGTGCGTCTTTCGTCCGGAGAAGTTCGATTGATACACGTAGATTGTTGTGCAACAATCGGTACACTATCAAATCCAGATCATCAGCATAGAACGTTGGGGAAAGCTGGTAGATCAAGGTGGTTGGGAATCAGGCCAACTGTTAGAGGTGTTGCAATGAACGCATGTGATCATCCTCATGGTGGTGGAAGAGGTAAAA